GCTGAACCTATCCTTTTTGTGCTTAACATATCGCAGTTTTGATTCTTTTCTTCTGGTAATTTTCTCAACGCAATGCAAATCTGTCTGTGGAATCCAGAACACAGTGCTTGTCGGTCCGGTTAATTTTCCGTGTCCGCTAGTTTATTACATCTTTACTTTCTACTGGCTCTTTGGTAGTAGCATATGCTTTTAAAATCTAAGGTCAGTGCAACCCTAGTAAAGGTAGAAAGGCCCATTACAGCTTTCTTTATATTGCATTCGTTTTTTGATATTTCAGCTGATGTCAAACGTTGACATCAGACGAATGGACTACTTACGTATGTTCCGTCCCTAAATGTTGTAAGAAGAGGTACTGTGCCTTATGCAGTAGATAGAGTGTCTACCATCTCAGTTGCTAATTGGGATGACAAAGCTGGCACATTATGATTCGAAGAGAGTAAACTGCATTACTGTAGGCTTTGATAAAGGACTCTGTAGGCGAACTCTGCAGATACTCGCGGCGATGTGCATTTTTTGATGCAAACATTGTGCAATCGACTTTGTTTAGCATTTAGGGAGGGCGACCACAGAGTTTTTATGGTTTTAATTCTAACGGCAGCAGACTAGTACTGTCGAAACCGTTTTTCGCAATGACATCGATTATTAGGACTTGGTCACCTTGTTCAGTTAAATTATCTCCAAGAGACTACCTTTGTTGCTCTCTCAATACTTCACTTTGGAAATGTTTGAAACTGCAGTCGGCATTTTCCCGAACGTTTACTGACATTCGCTTATGCTTAAAAGGATTACTTTAGGAGGGGGGGGGGCGATAATACTTATTACCATGCAGCATAATCCCAGACTGTTACAGAGACTTCCTGTTGCCGGCTTTTAAGTCCAATTCTTTTCAGTCGACCCAGTAGACCGCACTTGGTGTAAACGACTATGTCGTATAATTTTTTTTCAATTGATTTTCGATCCCCTTGTAAAGTTATATATTTTATAGAAAAGGGACATACAAATTGCTTTCCTTGCACTCATTTAGTAGAAAATGACGTCTTCTCCCACTGTTGTACTTGAAGACAGCCTTTCGTTAGTCTTAGAACTTTGTACTTTTGTTAATACGGTAAAATGTGTAACCAATCGTACTTGTCCTTTGATTAATTTTTCTTATGAAGTATACAACATAATACATGTCAAATGAAAATTTGTCAAGTAATAAGGATTTATGGTTGGGCTAGACAATAGCAAAACCCCCTCAGCCCAAGTTGCTTTCTGAATTCTTGGTTAAAGGTGAATAAGAATTAAATTAAAACTGCTTGTAATTGTTTTACTGGGCTGAAAAATTAGGCGAAAAATGTTGCGAAGAGGACAATAAAAACCGAAACCAAAGAAGGCGCTTCGATCACCAGAATCATAATTTTATTCTTCTGAGCTTTCGGGCTCTTGCGGGAGTTCATCTTCAGAGATAAAAACCTCAACGGAAAACAATCAACAGTTATAGAAGTAGGAGCCAATTAACCGTTATAGGAGGGGGGGGCGGGGGGTAACCATTAATCACCAGTTTCGGTCGTGCGAATATGCCTGCGGAGGGCGATGTATGCGAGCGCCAGTTTGATACATCGGTTGACTGAGTTTTCATCTGATGCTCAGGCTTCAGTTAGTTCTCATTCTGTCCTGTTGCCGGCGTGGGCAATGAGTCTCGTATAATTTACCTTGCACGAAAACTATACAACTTGAAGACTGTAAACCCTTAAATGCTGAGTTTTACGGGACAGGTCGAGCAGAAGCTGCTGTTATACTATATTATTCCATAGGCACAGTAGCTTAATACCAAACTTCTTCTAAAGATGTCTTTGTGTTTTTGGTTGTCTGTCAGACAATGCTTTGCACCACACTCCCGTTAACGAAACATTTAACTTAACTCCTGAACGGCTTCTTATGCTTTATTCTTATTTTCTTTGTTTAGGATGAATGGGGAAAAGTTGGCGAGTTCTCTGCTCCCACTACTGAGACCCTGTTGAACTGGGCCATATCTCTTCCCGCCCGCGCAGATAACCGCCCCTGGGTGTTTACCGGCCCCATGCCAGTCATGGCCACCCTGCGTTTGGGATTGATTACGAGACTTAACCACCGCCCCGGTGTGCCATTAAACGCCAAATTTGCCATCACAAATCACCCACACTATGAGAACGAGTTACTCCGAACGCGAACCATATTGGCGTATTCGCTGACCAGCCGGAAGCCCCTGGTCACCATCTGGTCCATCTACCGTTACGTTCTGATGGTATGTGGTCTACCTTATCTAATAAATAAATATACTACTGCAATTTTAAAAGTAGGGTTTATTGTTTGTCGTAGTATTTTTGACGTGTTGTTCGTGTCACGAAATGTTGTGGTTCATTAGCCGTCATCACCCAGTCATACCCAATCCCAGGTAGTGTATCACCGGAGGTTCGAACCTGCGATCTGTTGCCCAGGGGTCCGATTTTTTGACCCTTAATCCACGGACTAGTCCTCTTACCGTTTTAGATCAGGA